TACGTTCCATGCGGTGATGAGTAGAATGTGTATTCTGTGGTCTTTGGAAGGAGGGTTCTGTAGGTATCAATTAAGTCTTTTTGATCAAAAGTCACATTGAGATTTCGGATCTCATTGCTGATTTTTTGTCCTGATGATCTTGTCTAGGGTTGTGAGTGGGGTATTAAAGTCCCCAGCTGTGATGGTATTGGAGTCTGTATCTTTTTTTAGTTTACCTAGGAGCTGCTTTATGTTGGTGCTCCTATGTTGGGTGCATATATATTTAGGATGGATATTTCTTGTTGATGGATTGAACCTTTCATCATTCTGTAGTGGTCTTCTGTATCTTTTTTTAATTTTTGATAGCTTAAAGGGTATTTTGTCTGAGATTAAGATCACAAATCCTCCTTTCTTTTATGTTTCATTCGCCTGAAAATTTGTTTCCCATTCTCTTACTTTGAGTCTGTGAGTGTCCTTTCTAGTGAGGTGAGTCTCTTGAAGGCAATAAATTGTTGCCTGGTGATATTTTATCCATTTTGCCATTCTATGTCTTTTCAGTGGTGCATTTAGTCCGTTCACATTCAAACAAATTATTGAAATGTGAGAGTTGATCCCTATCATAATGTTCTTAGAGAGTTGTTGTTCTTCCTGTTTGTGTGTTGTCTTTCTTTTGGTTTTAGAGTTGGATCATGTGTGTTTTTAATCTTTTACCTGTACTCTTGTGAAGAACATTGTTGTTCTTTTTTCCTTTTCTTCTGTGTTCAATACGTTCTTAAGTGTTTCTTGTAGAGGTGGTATGGTGGCAGCGTAGGTTCTTAGGGATTGGATATCTGGGAAAGATTTCAATTCTCCCTCACTGATGAAGCTTAGCTTGGCTGGGTAGCTTATTCTCAGTTGAAATTGTTTATCTTTTAGAACTTTGAAGATAGGGCTCCAAGTTCTCCTAGCCTGGAGGGTTTCTGTAGATTAATCTGCTGCTATTCTAATTGGTCTTCCCTGGTAGGTAATCTGACCTTTTTCTCTTGCTGCCTTTAGGATTTTTTCTTTTATATCTACTCTGTTTAGGTGAATTATTATGTGTCTGAGAGTTGGTCTTCTCATTTGTTGTCTTGCAGGGGTTCTCTAAATCTCTTGTGTTTGAATTTTTGCATCACTGATGAGATGAGGGAAGTTTTCTTGAATGATTTCATGAAATGTTTGTTCCAGTGTGAACTCTGTTTCTCTCTGCCTCAGGAAAGCCAATTACTCTTAGGTTCGGTCTCTTGAAGTGATCATTCATCTCTTGAAGGTTTTGTTCTGTCTTTTTGAGCTTCTTTTCTATGTTTTTGACAGTTTGGGTTAGTTCTGCATTTTGGGCTTCAAGCTCTGAGATTCTTTCTTCTGCTTGGCTAATTCTGCTTTCCATGCCTATTAGTTTCTTATTTATTTCCATCACAGTATTCTTTACTGCTGTTATTTCTGACATCAGCTCCTTCCTATTTTCCTCTTGCCTCTCCTCAATTTTTTAAATTCTCTATTAATGTCTTGATGTCTGAGTTTGTTGCATGTGATCAGTCATTCTGGGGGATCTTCATTGTTTGTGTTCCAGAGTCTGTTTTCTCAGTGTCTGACCTCCCAGGGGTCTGTGTAAGACCTATATTCTTCTTTTGGTTTTTCTTCATTTGTGCGGTTTTTTTCCCTCCCTATTTTTTCCTTCCCTCCATGTCACCGTCTTCTTTAATTCTGTTATTGAGGGGTAGGGGGTTGCTTTTACTTCTGCTTGTATTTCTAGTACCGTTGACACCACATCAAGTCACAGCAACCATCTACTCTTGTTAATGTGTCTTTTTTTTTTTTTTAATAACTGGGTCACCTTTCCCATTGCTCTTAGACTGTTACCTAAAGGAAGCAATGGCAAGCATTGCCATTCAACAGACTGACCTGTGTGAACTCTGGAGACTGAAGCTTAGAAAGGCCTGGTCTAATCACAGTCAGCACTGTGAGGTGTAAGAAACCTCAGGACAAAGGACACTGACAAGGCTCTGTGATCACTGCAAAGACTGCAAAACAGTGGGTACCTGGGACTGTGCAGGCCATGTCCTTATGGTGTAAGTAGAGCTCTATAAAGTGCCTGTCTGTACTAAGTGCCAGCCCATGGTAGATAATATAAATGATAAATGTGTTACTTTTTTTTAAATTTCATACTATTGGTTTCTCGCATTAACAGATTAACAATTGATTTGACAGCAGTGTCCATCACAAGTGTCTTATTCTACAGAGTCTCTGGGACAGCCCAGTGCTAGCCCAGAGAGTTCTGAGGCACAACCCACTGCAAACTATGCATGGGGGTACTTAAAGATGTCTGTGAATTAGTTCAGAACTCCAGCTGCCATTCCATGTACAGATCTTAGATTGGAACAACCACTGCCTTTTCCTGTAAACCAGCTATGTCTGATGCTGAGGAATGACCTGGAATATGGGGTGGAGGGAACCAAAAAACCCAGAATTTATTAAAAATTGTGTATTTATTCTTACATGTTTAAACTTCAGTCATCCCCAAAGTACTCTCCATTGGCTACAATACACCTATCGAGATGCTTTCTCCACTGCCCAAAACAGTTTTTGAACTTGTCAATTTTGATGCTCTGCTGGTTTTTTGTTTGTTTGACCTCTTCCATATCAGCAAAACGTTTCCCTCTGAGGATTTGTTTGATCCAGGGAAGCAAAAAAAAAATAATAATAATAAGTTGCTTAGAGCAAGATGGGATGAATGGGGAGGGTGGAGCATGGAGATCATGCCATATTTTATCAAAAAACTGCTGAACTCTCAGCACAGTGTAGGCAGGTGCACTTTTAAATCACCCATCATGAAATGGCCAAACATGTTGAAAGAATCTCCAAAAAAAATGTACTGAAGCCAAAAGTAGCCTCTCACAACAATGTTAGCTGGAACACTGATGCTGATGGGTTTCTAGAACACTTACCTAGTGGGGGAAGCCTGTACTATAAGGAGTCCATCCTCCAAAAAGTAATTCTGGGTTTTTGGGGGTCCCCCTCATTTACCTACATGTTCCTCTTACTTGTCTCAATTTCTCTGTGTGGTTTCTCTTGAGAGCTGAAGACTGCTACTCAGACAGCAGTGGTTGGGCACTGTGACAGCGAGAGCCTGGTATAATCCCAGGCCCCAGGTTTTCTGTAAATAATTTTTAATTGGTCAGGTACAGTGCTCAAGTCTGTAATCCCAACACTTTGGGAAGCTGAGGTGAGAGGATTGCCTGAGCCCATGGGTTCGAGACTAGCCTGGGAAACTTGACAAGACCTCATCTCTACAATAAATCAAAAAATTACATGGGTGTGTTAGCAGTTGCCTATAGTTCCGGCTACTTGGAAGACTGAGGTGGAAGGATCACTGGAGCCTAGCAGGTCGACACTAGGGTGGCAGTGAGCTTGCCACTGCACTCCAGCCTGGGCAATGGAGTGAGACTCCGACTCAAAAAAATAAAATAAAATAGTTTTTAATCACTTTGACTTTGCAATTCTTAGTCTTTAGTCAATAAAAAGGAAAGGGAAAAAAGCCCTACTACTTCTACAAAGTGGACTTCAGTTTCCATTTACCCAGTTGGAATAGCTAAGAAACCCCTCTGCTAGTTATCCGTATTGTAAAATTAACAAGGAGGCACCCATGCTCCTAGTGATAGGCCTTCAACATCCCTTCCAGAATTTCCTGTCTACTGGATTGCCAGAGACCAGATTTCCATTCTCCTGACGTGCACCTTAGTGCACGGAAAAACCAAGGCACTGCTAGGATCATACATCCAACAACAAACAGCCAGTCGGTAAATGCCCAGGTTGCTACTTAGGCAGGAATTGGTCAAGGACACACACAGACACTCCAGTCAAACATTTTGAATTTTTGATAGAGTTGTTGAGCAAAGTGTTCGCTTCCTAGACAAACACAGTGGCTCATGCCTGTCATCCCAGCCCTTTGGGAGACAGAGGCAGGAGGATCACTTGAGCCCAAGAGTTCGAGGCCAGCCTGGGCAACATAGCAAGATCTCATCTCTACAAAAAAAAAATTTTTTTAATTATCTGGGTGTGGTGCCATGTGTCTGTAGTCACAGCTACTTAGGAGGCTGATATAGGAGGATTGCCTGAGCTTGGGAGGTCAAGACTACAGAGAGCTGTGATTGTGCCACTGCACTCCAGCCTGGGCAACAGAATGAAACCCCCCCCAATTCAAAAGAATAAAGTGTTCACTTCTTGGAGTAGAAAACAATCACTTGTCTGAACACTTAGAACTATCGCATTAGGAAGAGAGAATGAGTAGCCTCCTCCTATTCCTGCCTTTCTGGCACACGTTGGGAAACTGGTACACACATGAAGCCAAATCTCATTTCATTTTCAAGATCTCTAACCCTGAATTAAATTGATGGTTTTGTCCTCACTTCTTCAAACATAGCTCATCAACATTTATTTTTACAATGAAGGTTATTACTTCTGTATACATTCATACAGAATCCATTAGATTATATCCCCCTGGGCAGTTCTCAGCTCTCAGTAGTCACTGAAGTCCTACACATTGTGTCTGGATATGCATGGAACAACTTCTGCAGGAACAGTGTCCCTCAACTGGGGGTCAGGAAGCTTAACCTGCAGGTCACTGCAGACCAAGTGCTATGCTAATCTCACCTGAGTCTCCTATTTACCACCTGCTAGCCTTTATCTTTCAATTCAAGGAGACAATAAAAATCACAAGTCCAGGATTCAATGAGAAATGCATGTCACTCTTGCATAACTCATGTGATGATAAGAGAAATAAGTGTTGTGAGGAGGGAGGGGTGGGCTATCTTTTCATGGCAAAAAACTCTGTGGTGTTTACATAGGACTAGGTGTTTGACATGAGCCCATGCACAGCAGTAGGGACACTGGGTCACTTTCATTCCCTTCCCCCAGAGCATCTTTTGTTGTGATTTTAACAAGCACAGCCAACAGATTCTCTTCCCCACCAGGGCCCCAGTGACTGGGATACTCAGGGCGCTTACCTGCCACAAAATCACCAAAGCCCACTGTGGTCAGAGTGACCACCACAAAGTAAATAGATTCCAAGGCTGTCCATCCCTCGATGTATTTAAAAATGACGGCAGGGATCGTCACGAACACAATGCAGCCAGCCAAGATGAATAGGATGGTTGAAATGACTCGGATCTTGGTCTGACTCACTTGCTTTTTCTAGAAAGAGTAAAGGAGAAAGATAGGCAAGTCAGTGGCATCACCCTGGATTCAGTATACAGATGCACAACAAAAGGAATTATATCAGTGACATTTAACATTTCTTCAGTCATAGACTAGCTTTGTGGGAATCCGATGAAAGTTGTTGACTCTCTCCTAGAAAAATACACACACCCAAGTTTTCAGGTGGTCTAGGAGGGTCTCCAGCTAGTTCATGTGATGCTGGGTGGGGTGCAGTGTGTTGCTCTGTGGGTCTTTGACTTTGCCACAGAGCAATATTTCAAAGCAAATCCCAAGGACAGTTTTAGATAGAATTTATTAGAAACACAGAGGCATACTCAATGGGCATGGGATCCTTAAAAGAAAGGACACGTACATTTGGCAAAAAGCTTTATGTACTTTTACAACCATGATTAAGCAAACCATGAGCTAAGAAGTATGAGCTGCAGGTATCTGGTCATGAGTTTTGATGACTATTTCTCCACATTCTATGAGCTAAGAGAGGTAGGCTGTAGGTATCTGGTCATGAGTTTTGATGACCATCTTTCAGCCTTCAAAGGTCACAAGAACCTTCTAAATAATTAAAGTGATTGCCTAACTAGATTTGGGCTTTTCTTAGAACATCATGTCTGTGTTTTGGGTAATTCTCTATTGTTTCTGTGATTTCCTGCACTGGTAGATGCACATTCCAGCCCGTAAGGTAGCCAGGTCTGGTGTGTCTGGTCAGTCGGGTGAAGGCCATGAATTGATAAGAAAGATGTCTGAATGCTTACCCTATTTTAATTTAAACTGCCTACAAGAAACTCATCTATCTATGTTTAACCTGAACTGAATAACCTGCCTCACATGGATACCAGGTCAAGAAACCCTGCTTAGCTGATGCTTTGGGTGTTCCTTGCATAGTTCCATGATCTGCAGCCCAGATACTGATTCTAACTTCCTCACTAATGTAAATGTAATGATTCCCAAGAAGGGCTTGTGTCATTTTTTATGTGATATTACGGACCCTCCATTAGAGGAGGGCATGTGTTTAGAGCTCTTTCCACACTGATAGTGATTAATTTACACCTAATTTTCCTTGTCAAAGAGAATATTCTGGGGAGAAGAAATGATCCTGAGTCAGGACAAAATATTGAAATGAAAAGGAAAACACAGCCAGTCCCCTCCTCACTTGTGACAGACTCTAGCCAAGTATTTGTGTGTTTCTTCCCCACACCTGTAGCAGGAAGACAGAGAGATCGTGACACCAAGACTATTTTAGGAAGTGGCACTTTATTACGCTGGCCGGCCCAGCGGGCTCGATGGGGCTAACGCTTTCAGGTCGAGCCCCGCAGAACAGAAGAAGAGGGATCTTATACCCTTTAGGTAAGGGAGGGGGTCGTGTTGAGTGATTACACAATCTCTCTGGAATTTTACAAGGTTCTACTCAGCAAAATCAGTTTTTTTAAAGAACAAATGGTCTCCAAGAAATGCAAGGCAGCAGGGTCTGCAAGCAGGGTTGTAAACCATCAACTTCAAAAGAGGGATTGGATAAGTCTGTGAATTAGTTACTCTTTTGCATTTCCATGAGAGCCATCAGTCTTTGGCCATTTGGCCTTTTCAAACAAAACCGGCCTGGCAGGTCTTTAGAGCTTGCCACTTGGTTTTCAAAAGGAAATACCTTTAATTGCTACCAACCCCCTTCCTGCCACATCATTCCCCCCTTGATGCTTGATTTTTTTATAGATTTAAAGCATCATTATTTTTAATTTGGTGCACTAACATTATATGGGCCACAGTTTTTCGTTTAATAACTGTTTCCACAAACTTAGAAATGGCGTTTATAATTATTGGGGCTATGCGAGGGAGGATAAGACAGAAGGATTCTACCAATAGGACTACAGATTCAATAATATACTTAAATTTTTCTAGACCTGAGAACATGTTTTTAAACCAATTGCCGATTTTTATGCCTTGCCATTTTTGCACCAGGACATGGGCAAGTCTTTTAACATTGGTGGCTATATCAGTTATAACTTTACCATTATTATTTATTTGCAAACAACAGTTAGAGCTATTAAATTTACCACATACTCCTTCTTTTTTCACTAGCAGGTAGTTCAAAGTGAAGTGGTTTTGATAAACAGCTGCACGAATTTTGGGCTTGCTGCTGAGCAAGAAGCTCAAAAGTCATGGCTGTTTGATTAGTTATAATTTCCAAGACAGTTTGTAACCTGATAATGCGATTTAGCATATATATATATATATATATATATATATAGGCGTGCGGCATTTCCAACTCCCATCTTGTGCCCATGTGGTTGGGCCATAAGTATTTATAATTTTCTGGGGTGGCCATTTGTTTTTTTTCCAAACCTGGGTCCCGTCTATATTAGGAACTTGGTTGAGGGATCGAGCATTTCGTGCTTTGAGGCCTTTATAAAGGGGAAACCCTAGTTCATCCTCCCTTGGGTTAGGCAAGAGGAAAAATTCTGGCTGAATTATTCCTATGGTACATGTGCCTTTTCATAATGCTGGGAGCTGGGCATATGCAAACTTTCCATATGTCCAAAATAGCCCTTTAGTACATTGGGAAGATTTAGTTGCATAAGCAGATGCCCAATACCAAACAGGCCTTGTTGGCCACTAGAACAAACTCCTGGCTGGGATGAATAACGATGGAAAACTCTTACGTCTGGTCAGATAGTTTCTGTGCACGTACATGCTGGGTGTGTGAGGGAAGCGATAAACACCCAAATTTGGCAGAAATACATAAAAGCACAAGAATACTTCCTATTATAAGAAAGATTGGAAATGCTAGTGAAACCCTTTTTTAACATGCTTAATGGGGACAACTCTGTTAATTCTACAGCAAATAAAGTTAGTTCTACAGCAGTTAAAATGACAAACAGTTTAGCAAATATAAAGGTTGACCAAGCAAAGCAATGGTTTATCAGTAATGTCCTCTGAGTTCTTAAGCTGAATCCTCAATCTTCTGCCATGCGTCGATCAGTCAGCCTCTGGTGTGTGACTGAAGCAGGACTTGAAGTATCCTCAGGCTTCTAGAGCAGGGCTTGAGAAATTTTGACTTTTCAGACAGGCAGCTTAAGGGGTGTTGCCAAATCTGCAGTGCACTCCCAGTCCTGGAAGGTTGGTTTAATTTTGCTTTTACAGGTTATACATTCCTTTTTTTTTTTTTTTTTTTACCCATACCATATTACCTGGCTTAAAAGGATGGGCATCGGTAGTTAAACTAATTGGCAATTGTTCTTTGACTTGACAATGGATGACATTTAGGACTGAACCTAAGGCTTGCATTTGCTGTTTTAGGGTAAGACTTTTTAATTCCTTTAAGTCTTTTTGTATGCCCTTAACGAGAGGGGGTGGCTGCCCAAAAAGAATTTCAAAAAGCGAGAAGCCTGTTTAATTCATTCAAAGGCCTGTTGCTGGGTCTTTTCCCATAGCAGGGGCTCCTGTTCACCCCGCTTTGAGGCTTCATAGAGGGGTTTTATCTTGATAGAGAAGTTAGGTATTTAAATTCTATAGACTAGTATAGGAACAGGACCACCCCTAGGGTTCTTTTCTTTATTCTTACAGTTGTTGGTTGGGTCCTTCCTTTTTTCTATTTTTAGCACATTTACTCCCTTGGGGTGTTTGAGTTTCTTCTGGTTCAAGAAGTGTCTAGGGAAATAAGCTTATAAACTGTGATTAAAATTTGTCCCAAACGGACAACACATTTTTTATAAGCATTTATGTTTGTGGCCCCCTTTCCTTCAGAGGTATAGGAAAAAGTCCTACTGTTAAACAATTTCAAAGGTTTAACAAATTCCATTTCAGGGACTTGGATTCTGAGTGATGCAATACCAAATACCTATGTTTAGTTTACTCATGTCTCTGAAGGATTTCTAGTGATTATTATGCTAAACCACAAATTGAAAGATTGTACTGTCCTAGTTCTACATCTGATGGAGTTTTCCCTGGATTTGCCAAGGGGTGGGATAGGTTGCCACTCGGCCTGCAGTAGCAACGTTTGAATGCCTTTTAAAACCTACCTATAGGAAATTTATTTATGTCTAGCCTGTGCTAGCTACCCTGCCTTAATTATTTATTTTTTTAGAGATTTTTCAATCCCATAATCATTTGGGGTACTGAGGGGTGAAGGTCTGTCTTCTGTAATTTCTTCAGAGCTGTTAATGGGCGCAGTTCTGCCTAGCCAGAGATCGAAAATCTCTCCCTGTCTGACTTGAGGCATCCAGATTTGTTTGCTGGCACAGACTGGAATTCTTGCATGACGATTATGTGGGCATGAAATTACTGGATTCTAGCTCAATAAAAGGAATAAAGTCAGGCCTACATTTTGTCAATTGTAGGCAGTAGTTGATTATCTTTTTGTACAAAAGCTACAAGGCCTGAAGTTATTAACATAACTTAAATGATAAACTTTAATTTCTGCGGCTTTATTACAAGTTCCAACCTTTGGAGTTTTTAATATATTTCTGGGCTATAATGGTAGCCTGACAGATTGTTTTAGACTATAATTTGAACTAGGCACTCAAGGAAATCTTATATGAAATTTGAAGAGAAATCCAAAAATGTTTGGAGACTTGCATCCAGAAAAGACTTTATTATGCCTAGATTCTTTATAAAATTTCTTCTGTATATATATTTTTTTTCTCATAAACTTTCCTCCTATCATTTTTGGCACACTTATACTATTTTATTTTTGTTCTCTACTCCCTTTTTAAAAATTCTCATAACTATCTACTTTATTATAGGACAGAAATGTATCATATAAGATTCCCTCTTAGATAAAAATATCTTTTTTCTTATATTCCTTCCTTTTTTGTTTTCTTATTTAAACCTTATTTGTATACCAACAACCCTTTTATATTTTTCTTTTGTTTTTTGCTTTCCTTTTTATTTATTTATAGATAACCTTTTACAGTTATAATTTGAATTCACCTTTTAGTAACAGTTAGGTGAAACATTTCACTTTTGGAGCACCTTTAACTTTCACTAGA